GACAATCAATGATCGTTGTTTAATATTATAGTTCTTGTTGAGAGGGAAATGTGGAAAGTGAATGCTTAAAGACAGTTTTCGTGGCATTTAGAAAGACATTCGTGGATTATTGTTTTTGTCTGGGGTGAAAAAGTTAAGTTGGTATGGAATTTTTTTTTAGAATTATTTTAAGAAAAGTAAAGCTTAATTCAATTTTGAAAACTCATGAGATTTTGAATGCATTTTTGAAAACATGATTTCGAAAAGGGAGCTCAATAATTCAGTTTGTTCGTTCGTTCGCTCGGCAGGGTTAAAAATTGAGATCTGAGATCAACCAGACATCGTAGAGAGCTCGGATTTGTTTTAATTGCTCAGTTGCATCTAGTTATTTGCCTCCCGGTTGGTTTAAATTCTTAAATCATTGTTTTTGTCCTATAATTAATGATTTTTTTGTCTCTGATCACGTGTTCGATGAGTGCGTTCAGAAATATGAATTTTTCTACCGTTATAAAAAATTGCTCAGGTTAGAACGACTTCTTAAAATACAATCGTAAATTAACTTAATTCACAAAGAAAAACCAAAATCTTAAAAAAAAGCTTATCCAGCAAAAGTCTGACTCATCTCACATGTCCTCATAAAAGCATCATCATAGTCTAGAAGATTTCTTCTAAAACACCCTCAAGACGATACCATTTATAAGATTTCATATCATCTCATTTTTGTGTCTGCTAGGGTTATCCACTCACACTCTAATGTGTGTCTAGTGTAAATATTGTGCAATAAAATTAATTATATTTACAGAGCAATCAGCCAATGTGAAGTGTATGATGTGAAATTACAAAAAGTGCTTTTAAATGTTTATCAATAAAATTTTATTACAATTACAAATATCATAAAAAATATAAAGAATATAAAAAAATTCGAGTTAATAAAATAAAAATTATTACTCAAAAAAATTTCATAATATTCTTGTGGATATAACATTGGATTACATTATCATTATGTCAATGGGATTTTGTGAATAAAGGTAAGTACATAAACTCTCAAATGTAATTAATTAAATTGCAATTTAAGGAGATTAAAAAAGAAATGCAATTCAACTCGGGAAATGAAAAGTTTGCTAGTTCTTCATCCAAACTTTCCTGCATTGAGGATAAACTTTCTTAATTTTCCACTTAGAGAGCATTATCGTCCGTAATGTAATTAAATGTTTTCAAAGATTTATGCTTTTCAATACAAAACGAGCACAGCGAGAAATGCACACACAAAAAAAATCCCTTGCTGAACTTTTTTATATGCTGTGCGACTCGAAACTACTCTCATGATTAATGGAACTTTTGTACTCTTGTGACACGATGGATATTGAAAATGAAGAAAGATAATTTAAGTTTGTCTCTAATGAAATTTACTTGCTGATTTGATTTTGTTTTGGACTTCTTGGGAATCTTTTTTTATTGGTCGAATTGATTTAATTTTATTAGGAGCTATTTTAGTTGTAGTTTGATTTAATGTTGTTAAATGTTGTTGTAAGAAAGTTGAATGGCAATGACTGAGCTTATATTCTAAGAAAAGTATTATTTAATTTGCTGTGAAAAGTCCATAGAGAATATTTCATTACTTTTTTGGAAATTTGTGATTTATTTTGGGAAAAGAGATATTATTTCATAGGAAGTGAGTCTCAAGGGTTGCATTCATTTTTGCTTGTTAATTTTTTTAACGCATTTTTTAAATTTGCTTTGTTCGTTTGCTCGGATGCATGCAAAAACTTTTGATCTAAACATCGTAGAGAGCTCTAGTTTTTTGCGTTAGCTGTGTTCAATCGAGTTATTCCGGCGACGAATAGTTAAAAATCTTAAAACCATAGAGAAATACTATAATTAATGATTTTTTGATTTCAATACAATGTAGCCAACTTCAATCTATACTAGACACCTTCTGTTGTTAGTGAAGCGTCCTTCGTCTAGTCCCAACAACTAGAAATAAGGACAATCTTGAATTAAACTTTATCACAAGAGGAACAGGGGCTTAGTCAATGGGGTTTCACATTCAATGTTTGTGCTACAAAACTGCATTCTCTGAAGTAATAAACAGTTTCAATTGCAGCATACACCTTAATTTAAAAGCATTTGTATTCATTGTTTTAAAAAAAATCCAAATTTCACCCCTAAATTGTATCAATTTTATACTCTCATTCCATCAAATGATTTACCAGCATATAATAAAACTCCTCGAAGTTCTTTAATCTATTTCTTGTATCAACTTCTCCTTTATTTGATACCATTTCATAAGACTTTGATCCAATTCTCCGTATAGTTTCAAAATTATAAGCAAGCGATACCTTAATTACGTACAACAAAAATTTCAAGAATCCAATTTTGTGGCTTTTCTTTATTGTATTTCAAGAAAATTAATTTTGACATTTGAAAAGTTGTATTTCGATTTTCATTTGTGCTGAATTGAAGTTTTCGATTGTCTTGAACTCGTTGACTCGAGGGGAATGAGAAAAGTTTTGAGAGGAATTTTATTGAAGTTTTAAAGTTGAACGCATTTTGGTGAAGTTTTTTGAAACTTTTGTGCAGTAAATGTGGAATGTTTTGGAGTATTGTTGAGAAAAAGTCACATGAGACTGTAAAACTTTCCATAATCCACTCCACAAAAGCCACACAAGCCACCAGTCACAGCCAAATGACAATGCTCAGCAGGGGTGCAGTCAGAATTTTATGCATTTTAGTTTTTGTCAGAAATTTCAGGTTTTTTCTTCAATTTTTTTGTCACACTTTCAAGCTTCAATTGAACTAGTTCGTTCCTTAAATTCTCTTATTTTAATCCAAACACCCCCAACATCCCTCTACTGCCTAACGAAGCACATTCGAAAGTAAAATTTGTTTTACTTTTTGAAAATAAATATAAAAATTTTCCCCATAACTTATTAAGTTCGACAGATGAAATTGTTGTGTTGTTGCACGAAAAAAAAGTAAAAAATTTTCTTCCATTTTTATGTTACTTACGTAGATGTGTACATATTGAGGCGAACGAATGCAATAAATTTCAGAATCATGACACGTACAAAATTAAGAAAAGAAGATAAAATGAAGAAAAAAACTTTTTTTTGGCTTCAACTTCACTCACACTTTTCCCTCTATTACTCATTTTGATGTCGAAATTACAAAGGACAGGAGTCTGTGATTTTGTTCTTGATTGAATAAGAAATAGACGTGAGATGAAAGATCGGATGAATTTCTTTCAGGGGGCAATGTGAGTGAAATGACATTTAGAAGAAGAATCTTGGAATTTGTTGTTGAAAAGTTCAAGGGTAAAAATGTAAAGGAATTGATATTCTAGTCAGGTATTTAATAGTTTGACTGCTGAAATTTTTAATGACTGACAATTTGTCTGCGATTCGATGATTCAAGTGGTGAAGTTTGTTGGGATCATTTTCATAGAAAATTTTCTGAAAATTAGGTGTAAAGAGATTGAGAAGCTAGCTTAAGGGTCTAGGTGTTTAGCCATACTTTCTGCAAAAGGGGTTCTTTTTAAAAAAATCTTTAAAACCTTCTTATTTTTTAATATTCTGAATATCTTGGATTACGAACTTTGATTGATCAATTCTCACCTTAATCTAAATTTATTTAAATATCTTACAATAATATTTGCACTTTTAAACAAGACTTGACTCAACAATTTCCGATTGTGCTTAAAAATCAAACTAAAAGACACTCCGAATCTCATTTCCAATCAAAACAACTTGAAAACATGCCTTTTCATGCAAAGAATTTCCATATTTTTTGCTGAACAGATCCGATAAGTATAATGTCTATAATCTCAAAAAGGAACTTGAGTGGAGACACTTCAACAATTTGTCCTCGCATTTTCTCCTCTTTCTGTCTGTTGCATGACTCAATTTTTTTTTTGCTTCTGTTTACAGCAACTTTTATTTTTATGCATTTTTTTTATTATTAAAGTAATTTCTTTTATATATTCGCAAATAAAAACAAATCATCAACTTCCCCGGAGCCTTGTGACTCTCTTCGAAAACAATTTCACTCAGCGAAGTCATAGATCAAATAATAAAGTTTTTTTCGGGACTACACACGGGGCATGCAAACAAAACCAAAGATTATAATAATGAAATAAATTTTATGTGAAAATGATAACACAAAAAAAAATTAATTCCGAGACGAAATCTTGTTTATGTTTATGAGTCAAGAAGTGTGAGATTCATACACAAGTGTATGAAATTGTGATGAAGAATCTATCCGACTGATAAAAAGATACGTAAAAGGCAAATATTTTATATATAAATAAATCGTCAAGATCGCATCTGATAATAAATATTTGGCTGTTCAGATATGATGTTAATGCTTAATTAGGATTTTTGAGTCACTATTCTCAACCTGATTTGAAATAGCTGATGTTATTTACATGGTTTCTTTAAACGAAAGCTGAAGAGACTCAGTACCTAATTATTGCAATACCGACACAGCGATCATAGGTTCGAGACTGGGCATGAGAAATGTTTCATTTGTCCTTTTTCGAATCATATGTACTGGAAATAGGGCTCAAAGCCTTCATTTGTAGGCTACAGGTAGTAATGTCATCAAAGGAGTAGCTAGGATCCCACTATAAATTGTAGGTTTAGGTTTGAGTGCAGTGATTTGGCGCATCCTCACTCGTTAAACTCTCATTAGCTCCAAAATGCCCTAGCGCACCTCTAGATCACAATTGATCTGAATAGGTTAAGGTTTTTTTTTTCTTTAAACGAAAGACGATTTAGGATTCTATCCTTTAAAGGTAGAGCTTTTAACCTAAAAACTTCTCTGCTTACTTCTTAGACCTCATCGTTAGCCGCCTTTAAGCTCTCCCTTCTTTCCCCACCTTGTCACCTACCAAAGATCCCTCCTTTGACATCATACTTGACATCATACTTGACATCATATCTGAACAAACCCCAAAAAATGAATCTTTGTCTGAAAAAAGTGAAAAAAAATTAATTAAGTTTTAGGACAGAGAACAAAAAGATTGCGAGCAGTCATAGTTTACACTTCATTTAGTTGAGATGGTTTCGCCGTATCGTAAAAAATTCTCAACGACGTTTATTGATCGTGAATTGCGTCAGAGTGAGCTAGAAAAGCTTAATAGAATATATTATCTCCAATTGTTGAGCTCGGAAAAGCGAAAGTCAAATAAAGAGAATAAATTGATTGATAATTTAGTGTTAAATTTCGATTGCGTGCAGCGTGCGACTAAGACATATACACGAAGATGGTTTCTTTTTGCTATGATAACAATTTCATTAACTATATCCTCAACACAATTTCTACAGTTCTGTATTATATCCAATGTAATGCAGAAATATTTTGATACAACATCTGATGTTATTGACCTTACGTCCATCTTTTATATGCTGATCTATTTTCTTCTTTATATTCCGGTTACGTATTTTTTTTGTGAGAAGCAAGTGAGTTTATTTGGACGATGAAGGATTATGAAAGATACATTTGTAAATGAAATTAGGGGAGCGTGATTTTCTTGGATGTGGAAAATTAAAATTTTTGTGAACATTTTTTCCAACTTAGTTGAAATTTCAATTAAAATTCCGGAATCGAAATTAGGATTTAAATTTCATTCAATTTAAATTCCAATTCTAGAATCAGAGTCTGGTGTTAAGAAAGAAATTGAATGCAAAATGAAGGGAATGACTGTAGATATGGCTCGAATAGTAGGGATCTCTGATCGAGTGGTCTGAGATCGCCTCTTTTGATCTCGTGGGTTCGATTCCCATCGAACCCGACTTGTTTTACATTAGTATACACATATGGCAGTTATAGGGAGATCTACAATGACTGAATTATCAGGTTAAATATGAGCGTTTGGTCCTAAATGAATTAAAGGAACTAGTGGAACTATTTTTAATGACATTTTTGAATGAAAACCTTTGAATTATTTTTAATTTGAAAGAAAATTAAATAAATTGTTGAAGAGCTTAGGATTTTGACCCCACTTCCTCAAGCTATGCTCTGGAACCTGCTTTAATCAAAAGTCAAAGATTTTTAAAAGCGTTTAAAAATTATTGTGACAATTGGCATATGTACCTTTTAGCACTCACATGTTAAGGCAAGTTTATAGCATGATCGGTGCTAGAATAAAGTAAATCATGAAAACATAAACCACGATATCTTATTTATCAAGACAACCGACAAAAATTTACAACACCCACACAACATACAAACTACACATTTGTTTATCCACAAAGAAAATTGCGCTCAAAAAATAGAAAGTTTGCAAAATACATTCACTAAAAAGGAAACATTTTTTTTCTCTCTCTCTCATTTTTACATCCATATAACACAGTCGTTACATAAAGTGGCACTATATGGATCCGTTGGGCTTGTAATAACATCATGGCTTAAATATATTGGTGTTCTTATCCAAAATTTTGCCCTTATTTTGCTTGTTCAATGCTTTTGTGCATTATTCCATATATTCTTGTCATCAATTCCATCAAGAATTGCCACCGTATGGTTTCCAATTCAAGAAGAATATTTGACACAAGCAATAACCATTTTTGCCAACAACTTGGGCTTGATTATAAACTTCTTGTCATTGATTGTCATCAACAATTTAGATGACATGGAAATTTTGACGACAAATCTCACAGATTACATTCTACTGATAGCTTTGCTATCCACATTCAATGCTATCATCATGATGTTCGCATTTAAACAAGACGAACCAGAAATTCCACCGTCATGCATTGAGGCGTTGAGACGAGATAAAGTCATTCAAAATGAGGACTATGATAAGAGACGATTTTGGAAATCATTGAAAATTTTGATGTCAAATAAGAATTTCATCATGCTGTTTCTTGGATTTGGATTGAACATTGGAGTCTTTAATGCATTCTCGACCATTTTGAACTCTATTATTGTTCATTATTTTCCTGTAAGTATGAGTTGTGTCACGAGTGTGATAAGAATATTTAATCAGTGCCAAAAAAAGTGTCTTACTCGTGATTTTTGAGCAGATTTTGCCGGCGAAATCTTGATAATGATAATTAGATCACGCTGTTGATAGAATGTTGCAAATTTCAATAGACTTCTTCTTGATAGTCTAAAATATTCATGAATATTTACTGAGATGAGATAAAATTTTTTTGGAAGCATGTGCTTCATAATTTATGATGATTTTCAATGAACTTGATGTAAAGTATATAATTGAGTTTTTTATTTAATTTTTCATGATTATTTGACTCGGGCTCGGTTAAATGACTTAATTAGAAGTTATAATTGCTGAATAATTAAGGTTTACTTACCTATCAGGCATAGATACAAGAAGGGTATTTAGTTGTCAATCAAACCTTCTCGGCTCATATTGTAGTACAATTTTTCTTAAGCTACAAAATTAACAAGTCTTGTTTTTCACTTTATCGTTTAAGAATCGTTCATAAATGACTTTCAATTTTTTTTTTCGTTTTTAAAAAATTCACTTATGAGGTCCAGCATTTAGGAGAAAGGGGGCCTAAAAATCTGTGACACATTGTGACAGTAGAGGTAGGGAGGGTTAGGAAATTTGTGACATCCAATTGTTTTGTGAGCAAATTATATTTTTATGTCACAAAAGGTTAGGGGGGGGGGGGTATTGACATCGGTGACAGTTTTGTGAAGGAGGGGGGAGGGTGGGTCTGAAAATTATGTTTTGGATGGACTTCACAAGTGAACGGTGGGAAGTTTAATTGTTTCAGACCCTTTTCCCCATACTCTCTAATTGAGACTTCATTTACAAACGATCTTCACATGCATATTTACTTCCTTCCTCACAATGCTGCTAGTTATGCAGCTAAATATACCCTCAAGGATAAGAATAATTATACTGACAGCTAGGAAAGCCACTATGACATCTGAAGGGAAAATTCAATTTCTTTATTAGCTAACGAAGCTGATAAACAACGCTTATCTTTAGAACTTGAGACAGAAATATATAAAAATATAAATAGATGGACGATAATAGGAAAAAAGTTTGTATAGATTCGTTATTTATGATTATTTTTACGACAGAATAAGGTGACGATACTATTTTTAACTGATAATATTAAAGCTTTTATTAGTGACGAACTACAATGACTATCATGAAATAAATTTATAGTCTCAATAGTTCAATTAATATTCAGCTTCTCCTTAGTTTTTGATGTCATTCATTAAATCAGATGAATCAAGTGTTGCCTCTACCCAAGATCTCAACTAGTAAAAGATCACATTTTCCTAATTCTGTACCATAAATTCTATTCATCAAAATTCTAATACTTAAAAATTTATGATAACAATTTGAAGGTTAAAATCCCCAAATTAATAAAATACCTTCCCAAAAGGTCTGTCAAGAAAATTTTTATCACTCAAAAGTCTTATAAAATTTAAGAATTCTTCATTATCATAATTGTCTTAATTGAAACTAATCCATAAAGCCAAAAATACCAGAAGAAAAAAATTTGCAACATCCTTCATAATGTAAATCCATCAAGACACCTACAATCTGATTTTAATCGGGTCTCAAATCGCTAATTGACTTTTTTTTCCTTTTTTATGCTAATTTTATCCACTTTTCCATTTATTACCATCCATAATTAGACAGGTCAACTTGAAGCTGGTACATTATGCTTATCAACGACGCTATTAAGTGTATTTAGTCTGTTCGGATTTGCATTCATTTTGGCAAGATTCAAGCGCTTTAAATCAACAGCACTGTGGATATTAAGAATTCAGTCTATCGCCTTCATACTCTTCTCACTTTCTCTCGAGTCAACCTCATTTGTGATTATGTGCTTCTCGAGTATACTTCTAGGGTAATGAAAATAAATGTTGATTATAGCTGTAATGATTATGATGAGCATATAAATAAGCTCACTTATTATTATTATTTTCCTTTTCTTATATTTTGTTTTTATTCTAGAATATTTATGGTTGGATTTCAGCTTGTTGGTCAAGAATTGGCTGTTGAATTAACATATGACATGATGTGCGAAGATATTTCGGTCGGCATAATTAATACATTTGGATTCTTCTGTGGAATAATAATTACACTCGGCATTAAAAAGCTGCAAGACGTCTTCTCAATTTTATATGGAAATTTATGCTTCTCGCTGCTCATTACAGTCGGAACTATTTTTAATTCGTTAATTAGCTCATTAGAATTAAAGCGACAAGAGGTTGTTGACTTTATAGATTCAGCGACTGAAATAGAATTAGAAAGTAGAACTTATAGATTCTCAGACACGCCGAGAACATCACGACAATCGAGCATGAAATGAATAGAAAATAAAATGTTAATTAAAAACGGAAATGAGAGAGCTTTTTTTTTGTTATTTTTCGGAGCATTTGCTACGTTAGGTTAATTTTTAATTGCAGTTCTTTTGTTTCGTGTGCTTATTGTTTGTTGCTCGCATATATGAAGATTAAATTGAGGATGTTTAAACGGATGAAAATTAATCTAATTTTTAATTTATGGGTTTTCTGGAGTAGATTGTTTTGGGTATGGTCTTGTATAAAGGAAAGCAATTAAGGACCTTGCGAGATGTAGAAAAATTTTCATACAAACAAGCACCAAGTACCTTACAATGACAATGAAGCCAACATACTACCTTGAACGTAAATTTTTGAACTTTTAAATCCCCAATTTCCTTGACTTTCTATTAAAAAATTCCAAAAAAAAACATTTTGTTCTAAATTCCATGCGTCAGTTGTGAATAATGTGAAGCTTATTGCTATTAACATCTTAAGATCCTTATCATAAATTTTCCGCATCGTATCTCATTAGATTTTATGATTATTTTTAATGTTTTACATGATATCGTGTTTTAAGAACATTAAGTATCAACATGAAGCCTAGGATATTTGTGTTTGTGTATCATATGTTGTGTAATAATTCTTTAATGATGTTCTTTCTTCTTACAGTTTCTTTTTTAAACTTTAAAATTTTCTTTTTATTTTCTCTCAATTTTCATCATCATTATCAACAGACACGGAAGCTATTCTTCTCTATAAAATAATTTAAAGGGTTGCTATATCCTCAAAAATATATTTATTCCCATTTAATGTGCTTTATATGGGAGAGCTTACGTCTTTACGTAGTTACGCTCATGGGATGATGATGATGATGGTGATGGTAAAAAGCATTTTATTTTTATTACGTTTATCACTTTTAACTTGTGGATCTTAATTTAATTACATTACTCACATGGATTGTTTTTCTGTGGATGATGATGTTTTGGGGGGTTTTGGAACATTTAATTCGGGAAGTGGAAGTGACTATGAATTTTTATTTGCAGAAAGGAACATGAGAGGCAGTTTAGCAAAAAATAATTTCTAGAGATTTTTATGGTTTCAGGGATGAATCAAAAGAGTTGAAGGGTGGTCTGAATTTCCCATGTGAATGCTATACTTAGGTACTCCTAGGATATCAATGATATATCAAAAGGAGAAGACCACCATCTGTAGATATGGCTTGAAGAGCATCTGTAGTATATAAGCCTGAGCATAGGGCTCGCGTTGAACTGGTTATATGTGTATTACGTATAGCCGTAGTGAGATATGTACCTCGAGTGGCTGAGTGGCAGGGATCGCTGATCGAGTGATCAGATATCGCCTTTTTTAAGGTCGTGGGTTCGATTCCCATCGAATCCGACTTGATTACATTAGTAAATACATATGGCAGTTATAGGGTGATCTGCACCATCTATTGGTGATAAAAGCTGTGGTTGATTTCCAAATACTGAAAAATTACAAAAGATCAAAAGGCTGGCAAACCTCATTGCCATTGCCATCGATGTCTACTGATTCAACCGTGGTCCTCATTTCTAAGGCAGAAAATTGAAATGTTTAAAAATACCAAAATATATCCAACAGTTTGCATCAGTGACCGAAAAAATTCCCGTACAAGCACATCCACTTTAAGCTGCATATTCATTCACATATCCTCGAGTAAGCATTCGTTCCAGCTTCATCACTTATTAACGATTTAATTCACTTAAAATCTTCATCATTTATTTAAATGAAAATCCCCAACAAAAAAAAAAATAATATTTTATTTGGTTTGGGGGAAAATGCATGAAAAAATAATTTTCAGAAACACAAATGAGAATTAAAACAACTTTTTTAGAATGTTTAAAAAAAATTATTCTCGCAATTAAATTTTATTTTCTCAAATTATTTCCACTGTGGCAGATGCAAAATTGGATGGAGATAAGAAGACAAAAATAAAATCTTTAATTCTAGTCTTTACTTGTCAATAAATTTCAATTTTACACAAAAGAGAGAGAAACGAAAATGAAGCTGATTTCCCCAATTCTCCCTCGACAATAAGCCATACACTATTATGTATTATTGTATATGCACGATTCGTACAATAAGTAAATCTAAATGACATTTGTGTATTGCCATTTTGAATAAAGAATACAATTGAATGTAATTTATTGTCTGCTTACTGTACTGAGGAGGAATTCCTTTCCAAACTTATTCACAAATGGCATCAGTGGATGTTCAATCCTGATGATTTAATTATCACACTTCGATGAGCCTTTATGGCAATTTACAGAACATTACTGGACAAATTTTTGTTTATTTTTTATCCATGCTTGATGAGCCAAAATGTGAAGATATTTCCATTAAATTATTGATTTTTTTCATGTTCACTGCTGTTATAGATTTTTCTGCGATAGAATTTTCAAAAAATTTCTTCTTTCTGAGCGCTTTATTTGAGATTAAAGGAATATTTGAATGGAGGCGGAAAGAATCTTTTAATCTGAAAGTAAAGATTACATATGAAAATTACTTTTTGATGCTGTTGAAATGGAACTTCATTTTTATGGTTGATTTGAGATTATTTTTGGATTTTGAAGGAATTTTTGATTTTTGCGAAAGCTAGTCTTGATGATTCAAGTTAATTTATGGAATATATTACAAAGAAAATTGTTATGTCGAGAGGATTGTTATGCTCTATGTAATAACTGAGAGATCGGGCTCTAATGGGAATCGAACCTACGTCCATACAAAAGAAGCTTATCTGTCGCATAACGATTGAGCCACAGATGCCTTACTTTAGCAATGGTAGACTCGCCTAGTGTATCACAAAACACTTTTTAAAAATCCTTAAAAATCTTAAAATTCGGATAAAATATCAAACTTTAATTAACTTAAATCCACTCCCATTGTCCTCAAATAATAAAGAAAAATCACAAAACAACATGTTCAAGATGAAAAATTCCTCTTTAATTTAATAGCTCAACAAAAAAATCTATCAAAAGGCACATTAAGTATATTACATGTCAATTCCAGACGATGAAAAGTTTTTATGAAGAGATTTCTTTTTCTCCTGGCACTGAACAAAATGTTTTTACATCCACCATAAAACTTTTTCTTTGCTATTTATTTTTTTAATAAAAAAAAATATTTTCCTCATTTAAAAAGAATAAAAAAAAAGTAAATGTAGAACTTTATGAAATGACACATGCTTTCAATATTTTCACCTATGCCATTTCCTTTTCTTTTATATAAAATAAGGTTCTCGACATTCAACCGAGTCGCAATTTTGCCTCCGTAAAGTTTTGGTCATAAAAAAATTTTTACAGCAGATATCTTCAACCATGCCATGCCGTACAGAGTAAAATTTCCTTTTTTTCTTCACTATGAAATGGAAATGGATGTAAAATGAGGCACGCACGATAAGCTTCTTTCTCTCCTTGGTGTTTTCTTTTTCCTGTTTTATCACTTTAAGACGAGCAGCACAGAAGAAGAAGAAAAAAATTATCTTTTCATTCTTTTCCTGCAGGGCTATTGTTGTCTCTATGTTCTGGCATTTCCGTTTCTCTACGGTTTGCCTTTCTGCCAGTCGTCTTCTTTGTAACTCCAAGATTATAATTTAATTTAATGTTAAATGATGTTGTTATCCATGCAGAAGAGAAGAAAAAAAAAATTGTGTTTTATCCAACAGCTAACATGAAGTTTGCAGTCTCGCAAATTAAGCATTCAAGGTTGCTCAAATTGCACCAAATAAATTTTCAAGCTAGAAATGTAATCAAGAATATTTTTATTGATGTAGAAATGAAAGGATTAAGCGCATTTATATGATGTAAAGAATTTAGGTCGTCGCGTTTTGTGGATGAGAATTATAGGATTTCCTTTACTTGAATAAGCAAACGTGAACAATATGTTGGGGGATTTAATTCTAATACACGCATCTTCAATTTTTGCAGACATTTGCACGTAAAGTCAACGAGTGAAGTGAACATATTTTGGTACATGATGTTCAGTAAGAAGCAAGCTGTACAAAGAATTGAAGTCAAACATGCAAAGTATTGAGGTTTATTCCAGGGTTCCGATACAGGCACCAGTCACAGGTGAGAACTGTACAATTCCTTGATAATTTGTGAGGTTTTATTAGAACTTTTATGGTTTTGTTACAAAAACCTTATAAATTATCAAAAATTTTACGGTTCTCATCTGTGACAGGTGCCTGTGTCGCAACACTGGTTTATTCAAAGGATCGTGGCTAGTTAAATGTTATTTTGAGCCAGATTATATGGTAAGGAAATATGGAGATATTATTTCCTATGGTATAAGTTGTGTATCAGCCTTGATTAATGATCTATTATCTTAGGTTGTGAACAAATATTTTGAGACACACAGTTCAAAAAGCACTGCTCTAGTAAGTAAACATGCAAAAAATTTGCACAATCTACTCAAAACCCTTATTCACTCAATAAAATTCCCAATAATCTTGGTCAAAACTTCTTCATACACTTTAATCTCTAACTAGCCAATCTGCAAGTCAATAGTTCTCAACATCATCATCAGCACCACCCCAAACAATCTTGCAAATTTTTTTTGCGTCCGAAAAACTTTTCAAATTTATCCTTTTTATTGCACCATCAAGCAATAACAACAGCACTTTTAAACTTTAAACTTTGAAAGATAACAGAAGTATAATTAGACGGAAAAATTTAATTTCTTATAGAGCCAAAAAAAAATATTAAGAAGAGCAGGAAAACATCATGAAGTGTGAAATGGTGATAAATGGGAATAATTATAAGGGTTAGAATCGGATGTAACTATAGCTGGTCGTAATGTAATTAAAATTGTAATTTAAAAAATGAATGAGAAAAATTTCGACAACATAGATTCTTCTTGGGGTCGATGATGTGAAGCTTAAGGTTTTTAAAATTATAATTTTAGAGATGAAGAAGAAATTGGATGGAAAAGTCGAGTTTAATTTTCATGTGGAAGAAGATTTGAATGAGTTTCTGATTGTTGAAGGTAAATGAAAGGTCTTGTGGAAATTTCTGCTAG